ATTTGTTGCTCCATTCGGTAGAGTCGGGTCCCGATTGGTATGCATTTCATACCAATACTCAGGTGAGAGCCCGGCTTTCCCAGTGTTTGGTCCAGTCTTTCGATGCAAACATCATATGAAATAAATATCAAATATTAGTGAAAAGTCAATCATTTAACAACTGAAGAGAGATTAACAATAATCTATGATTAAATATAATAAATTATTATTAATTATAATCTTTCATTAATTATAACATTTAATGCTAATTTTATATAAAACTAATCTCAATTCAAACTTAATAAATACTTTTATGGACTATTTATAAAAATGCTATTAAATTTACATTGTATATCTGGTATACATTGTAATGAAGCGGCATTTAAGGCGCAGAATATATATTGATAAATCATAGTAATTGGCAAAACATGGTAAAAATGTGTAAAACAGGGTAATTATAATTAGCAAAACTACTAATGGTGATGCTTACCGGCGCTGTAACTCCTTGATCCTGACCATCATGTTGAGATGTCCCTGAGAGTACTGCTCGATCACATCGCGCACATCATAGGGTTTCCTCGCCTGTTGGAACTTACGTCGGGCCACAAAGTACTTGATCTTTCGGATACCACGGATCGCATTCTTGTGCGCTTCTGTCAGACTGTATGTCATCAGTGAAGACATACATTCATTGTTTGGTTATAAAAGTAATTATTTAGATTATTTAAATATAATTATGTTTTATAAATGAAATATTGTACATTTAATAATAATTATTACAATACAATTATTTTGTACAAATATAAATAATTTTGTTTTTGTTTAATAAGATGTGAAATAAATTTAATTCCTTGATAAAACCGTGATTTATTTGTTTGGTTGTGAAATTTATTGCAATAATTATTATCTGTTTTTTATTTCTAATAAAATTTGATAATATTTCCAAGTATTTACTTTACTTAACAAAAAAAATCATTAGAAATAAGCTATTTATGGGAATTTGTATGTCTGTCACGAATGGCTCATTCATCTATTATATTATGTAATAATTTAATAGAAATGTTATTCAACAAAACACGAGAAATATCTACTAATAAATTAATGTTTTGCATTACTTTAACGTATAAGAAGACATTGAATTTGACAAATGTTTTTGTGTGTGATTTTCAATCACTAGTTTGAATGGCATTTATCTGTGTATAACACATCTGTGTCCGCACACCATATCTCAATTGCCACCACAAAAACCAATTAAAGTTATATTCATGTAATCTCTCTCTCTCTCTCTCTCTCTCTCTCACACTACCGGAGCCGCGCCGTTGACTTTATTGCACACAAACTTTGTATATAGTGCTCAAGACTT